CTCACTGATTCCAGCTAGCAAGCATCTACTCACTGGGATTGCTCCCTACAAGCAAACTGCCTTCTATAACTAACTTGACCAACAATGACTAATATAGTTACATATAAAAACATCTCCTCAAATTCTTCTAGTGAATTATAAACTGAAATGCAGCCACTACAAGTCTTTAAGTATGTTATAGGTATAAATAAGACAAAGGCAAATGAAGTTGTCTTCATGAGTAGACAGCTGAAAATATTTTCAGAAGTGTGTTATTCTGCCCTGACCAAGGAAAAGGAATCACTGCATTTGTGACATACACAGTTGCAGTAACTATATTTTATTGGAGAATAATCACCCAGATTATGCCCATCATAAAAGTTACTCCTGAAGACTTCACTTAAGTTTTACTCTGAAAGTAGTGAGTTTGTCGTGGATAGTGGACTTACTGTTATAACTGACAGATACTTGTTCTTGACTGTGACCATTACACTGGTACAGATTTTCTCTAGTTGCATATAAACAATGAAGGCTTAGCATTGGGTGAAATAAATTGCCAGTGGTTTGGAGACCAGTAAATAATATGCAAGTGTAACCAGTACCAGTAGACTGTCCCATGCAGATCTCCTACTTTGATGATTTTTACTTTGAAGATAGGTCTAAATTAGAAAAGAAAAATGTAAAAAATTAAAAGTACTGTACTTACCTGTAAGATAAAGTTCTAAAACCTGATTTCAGAAATATGTTCACTGTATTAGTTTTGATACTCTAGGAGTATTTGTACTTAATGTTTATAGTGAAATTAGGAAATAGATATTTCTAGCCTTTAAACTTACATTTTGCCTTGATAAATCTTTTACCATTTTTAAAAATATAGTAGTATATTTATCCAGGCACAAGGTCACATGCCTATAATCTCAGCAATTCAGGAGGTTGAGGCAGAAGAATCATAAATTTGAGGCTTGTCTAGATACCTTAACCCATCCTTGTCTCAAAAAAAAAACCAAAAAAGATCGATGGATATAGCTCAGGAGTAAAGCATTTGGCTAGCCTGTATTAGGTTCTGAGTTTGAGCATAGATACATAAGTGAATTATAAAATAGTCTTTTCTAGTTGCTAGAGATGTTTTGAATTTTAAAAAAGAAATGCAAGCCGGGAGTGGTGACACATGGCTGTAATCTCAGCACTCAGGAGGCTGAGGCAGGAAGACTGCTGTTGAGTTTGAGGCCTTGGGCTACAAAGACACCCCCCCCCAAAAAAAAAATTGCCTTTAGAAGAATTTATTTACAATTATGTTTTCTGGTCTGATGCAGTACACAGAAATGTCAATCTTTTATTAGACATTTTATTTGCTCTAACTTGGCACTGCATCCCTGCTGGTATCTTACTGCACTCAATGTTACCTAATTTAATCTTACTTTCTAATACTTTTATAACCAAAACTATTTTACCAGGCAAAGATCTGGAAACAGGTATTATCACAACCTTAAGTGTACTGTTGATAGTCTACATGCCAGAAAATTGAAGTTGACAGCTGAGGAGAAATTTATCATTACTGAATTGTGCATTACTAAATCTACTTCTGGAGTTTGGCCAGATTTGTAAACACTGCTGATTCTAATAGGAAAGATGGAAAAGCAGTCCCTGTGTTTTCTTAGCACAGAGACTCTACACAGGAAATCATTCCACCTTATTCCCTTATTATTGGGAAGTTAATTTATGGCTCTGCTAAATTTTATTAGGTTAAAAAAATGTTTTATGGATCTCTCATAAAAGTACTCCTTGGATACTTACACTGACCAACAGGAAGAGGTGCTATTTGAGAATATTAAGAAAGGATTTACTTTCCCCAAATCATTTTTATTTTCCTTTTTGTAAAGTACTAAAGATCAACTGTAACTAGCAAAATTTGGATTCAGGTTTGAGCTTTCCACAAGCTATCTTTTTTGTCATGAAGTTGGATGTTAATAAACACAATATGTTTGAGAACCTCATCTATATATACATACATGGAGATGTCTGTTACAGCTACTTTTACCTTTACAAGCCTGCATTCTCATGAAACCATGTATGTTGGTAGTTTAGTGAATAAATCAAATATATATTTTTTCTTATGTCAACAATTCTTTTGAAATATATAATGATCACCCATCAGCTATAGCTATAATGTTTACATTAAAGTCACTTTGAATAATGTAAGGAGTTTTTAATATTTTTGTATGTTTTTTAAGCACTTGACTATATCTCTTTGCTATTATTATTATAATTATTATTATTTTCAGACAGGGTCTTGCTAAATTGTCCAGATTGGACATAAAATTCTAATCCTCCTGCCTTAGCCTTCCAGAGTGCTGGGATTAAAAATGTGCACCACCACACTCAAACAAAAATATATTAGTTTTAAACTTTTTTCCAGGTTCTTCTAGAGTACTGACCTCAGATCTTTCCTAAAGCAGGTTTTTAATGGTCGCAAATGTAATATAATACAATGAATTAAATTATACCACCAAATAATTAAATTTTTTATTTTTTTTCATGATTTTTTTTTTATTTTTCAACAAATGATACACTGCATATATTCTTCTTAGTGCTTAATTGCTGTACAAGATGCGGACTTGTGATCCTATTTACAAACTCCATTAGAACAAATCATTCTATTCATTAACAGAATGTAACTATATATCTATCCCAACCACTTTGAATACACAGATACAAAATGGACATTCATCTGT